TTTAAGTAATATTTATCTTTTTTTTATAAAAAATAATTATTAAATTTATGCTTAAAATACATAAATTTAAATTTTTATCCATTACTCTTAAATAATACCTTCTTAATTAATATAATTATTTTTATAGTAATCTAAAAGACAGATTAATACACTATTTATCACCCATCAACAAACAACTATTCAAGCTTGGGATTATGGGCCTATTTAGGCCCAATACTGCTCTCCACTTCTTCTTCTTTTTTTTTTCCTTTGTGATAATTATACTACTTAATAAAATTTTATGTCTGAGCTAAAATTTAATAAACTTTTTAGAATATTCAAAAATAACAAAAATAACATAATTATTATCATAATAATATCATATTTTGTACTATATAAAGATGTAGTTAATGAATGTCAAAATTGTGCCATTCTTATAATATTTTCAAAAATTTTACTATATTTAAACTCTAATTTAAATCTTACTATATGTGTAAAGAGCTCCATTTTTTAATATATGTCACGTTAAAATTATAGCAGGAAGATCTTTTTCTAAAAATATTTCTAATAAATAAAACAAATTTAATTATAAATATTTAATTGTAAAAATATATTATAGATATGTTAAAAATATATATTACGAAAATTATTTAATTATAAATATTTTATATTTCTGATAAAAATATTTAATTATAAATTATTTATAAAACAAATTTATAACATCATTTATCATAAATGTATCATTTACTATAGATATGTTAAATATACTATTTCTCATTAATATTTTTTAGAAAAATGCTATTTACCTCTTTTTAAATATTTTTTCTTTTATGCTAATATTTAGTAAAATTAGATTAAAAAATACAGTGTTGAACAAAAAAAAAAGTAAAAAATTATATAACATATAAAATGCTGTCTTTTCAACATTTTATGGCTTTTTACATATGTTATTTCTAATGCATGTTGGGATTGAAAAGGAAAAAGGACATTTCTTGTAAAAGGACTTTGGGATACTCGGATGAAATTCTAAAACCACAATATATAGCATTTCGATATTTTCAAAATATTTGGCACCAACTTAATAATGCAAAAGATCACGAGGTAACCCAAATGATAATTTCCCAATAATAATGGGACAACAAGAGAGACAAAAGTATCCAAGGACAACAATTTTCGATTCTTTATATAATGGCCTTGTTTGATAGTCAAGTAAATTATTTGGAAACAATATGTTAACTGTTTGTTACATAAAGATTGATGGCAAAATACAAAATGGATAAAAGTCCAATCTGACTATTATTCAGTTAAAAAAAATAAAAAAATAAAAAGAAGGGACTATTATGTATTTGATCTAAAATGCCCTTATTTCATTTACAAGAGATCCTCGCTTTTATAAAATTCAAGGCAGATCCAGTTCATGTAGATTCAGCAACACCGTTTTTCTTTCTCTCTCTCTCTCTCTCCCTCTCTCTCTCTCTCTCTCTCTCTCTCTCTCTTTTTTTTTTTTTTTTTTTTTTTTTTTTTTTGCTTTTTCTCACTCTAATATCATCACCCACTGAAGTACAAAAGTTAATTTTTTGGTCCTAACTTGGCTTAGATGTGACTGTTAATTCACACATTGATTCATAAATAGTATTGGAATTCGCAGTATAAACAGCGGATTCTTGAGCTGTATTTTCCCTCGAGTCATCCGGATTCAGTATGCTAGCATTCAAGAATGGAGGTTGCATTGGTAAGGGAATTTCATGTTCTCTGTCACTTAGCATTTGAACTACTTCAGACATAGATGGTCTTAGTGCAACAGAAGCTTGTGTGCACAAAAGGCCAATTTGGAGCACATTTGATGCTTCTTCGGCAGGGAAATCGTCTTTCAGAGCCGGATCAACGGATTCGACAACCTTGTTTGCCTTGTAAAGTTTCCAAACCTAATGTCAAAAGAAAGAAAACCATGTCACTTACATGTGAGCAGGTTTAGCTGAACACAGTATACGAAAAATCTATTTAGATAGAATCAATTCCAAGGAAGGGGGAAAAAAAAAGGTTGCTTGGGATAGGCACGATAACTATGCCAATTGTTGTTAGAATATAAACACATTGTTCCCGCACATCCTAACTTTTTAATATTTTAGAAAGATTGATAATCTAACATGGTATCAGATAAAGATGTTTTAAGTTGGAACTCCTATAATTACACTCTATAACATTATCATCACATGTTGGTTTTTATATCCTTCGGGTTTATAATTAAATATTCACATGTTCGGCTTATTTTGTTAGTCAATATGGGTGACTCATTGTCAAAAATATGGGTTGCACACTTATGTTGAAAACCAAAAGAGAAAGTCAAAGAGGGGGAAAAAGAAGATAGAGAGCACCGAAAATGGTGTTGATTTTAAGAAGTGAACTCAGCTGTTTACAGTTAGTTCACGCGTAGAAGAGGGGGAGGCAGAGGCTATAAAATACAGGACCCCCTCATTTGTTTTGCATCCCAAAAACTGAGAGCTTCTCCACTTTGTAAATTTGTAGAAAATTATTTAGATTTCTAATTTGTGGGCTTTTGTAATTTCTGCCTAATTTGTTATTTTTTGTCTCTAGTAAATAGAGTGGTTCACAGTGCCCGGAGACGTATAGAATATTTGGCCGAATTCCGTTATCAATTATGGTGTTCTTTTAATTGTTTTCAATAATCAATAGTTATTCTGTCGGGTTTGTCCGCTATGTATAGTACTGTTCATCAATTCTGAGGTCGAGCTCACTATTCACGTGTATGGTCTTATTCACAAGTAGTTTTCACAGTGAAATTGTTTTTGAGTGAGAAATACCCAATTTCCCCAACATATTTTATCATTACCCAGGCTACACGAAGTGTGTGTGCGTGTAATCTAAATACAGAAAGGAAATGAATCTACTTGTCCATGACATTATTTTGAAGAGCTAAAATGTGGAAAAGGAGTAAAGAATCTTACAGAATGCAAAACTGAGCTCGACCCCAACGTGAAAGCACTATTCTTTCTACTACTCACTATCTCAAGAATCAGCACTCCATAGGCATAAACATCAGCCTTATCTGTCAGTTGCCCTCGGACAAGATATTCCGGCGCCATATATCCCCTACATAGTGTTTTATAGAGAACATATAAACCAGTGTTATTGAACTCTTGACGTAGTTTCATGGTTTAAGGAGGGAATCTTTATTTTGCTTACAATGTTCCTGCAATCCCTGTGCTAATATGAGTCCTATCAGTTGCAACAGATCGAGCAAGGCCGAAATCTGCTATTTTCGGGTTGAGATTCTCACCGAGGAGAATGTTGCTGGTTTTTATGTCTCTATGGATTATCTTCACCCCACAACCTCCATGGAGATATGCAAGCCCTTCAGCTGTCCCGCTTATGATATTAAATCTCTGCTGCCAACTTAAAACATTGGCCGGGTTCTTCTTATCTGCATGAATGTAAAGCGACTTTAGTTTTGTCCGGAAGATATTTGAACCAAATAAAGAGAACCTAAACAATGTGAAGGGAAATGAAGATATTAGAATGGATGATTATACAAGGCTTAATCCCTTTGTAGTTTGTAATACAAGTGAAGAATTTTCCCAAAGGGTTTCATGTAAAAGAATTAGGAAATTTTTCGGTAGGAATTGCCCTTTTTAATTGTTGGGTTAAGAAATTAGTATTGTTGTTTTACTTGTTGGATTAGGTTTTCAATAGTCTAATTTAATGATTGTAGTAATTTTGAGTCCTAATTGTTGACGTGAACACTTATAAATCAGACTGTTAAAATCTTAACCCAACAGTTGTTACTAATAGTTAAAAATGAGAGTCCTTACTAGAGTTCCCTAAAGAATTATATTGCAAATATAGAAATGAGAAAGGACAAATTATACTAACCAAAAATGATTTGATCAAGGCTTTTGTTGGGCACAAATTCGTATACCAGAAGGCTCTCTGGGCCTTCAATACTGCAACCCAAAAGCTTAACAAGGTTCTTGTGTTCAATCCCACTAATGAGGTTCACTTCATTGAAGAACTCATCTACCCATTGGGTTGTATTAAAGAAGAGTCTTTTAACAGCAACAATTCTCCCATCTGGGAGAATCCCTTTGAACACAGAGCCAGCACCACCTTGGCCTAGCTTCCTCGAAGCGTCGAAGAAATCGGTGGCCTTCTCGAGCATTTCGTACTTGAAATTCAATCTAGAGTTTTGCAAGGCAGTCGGAATTTCGGTTTGGAAATCTAAAAACAGAAAAATGATGAAAAACCAAATTAGATATGGATATGCTGCTAATAAAATTGTTAATCATCGCTGTTGGTTTATTTTAATTAGTTAAAGATTGACATGTAAAGCTAAGTCGAGAATTAACTTGTGAATCTATGATTTTGGTTGAAACAAAAGTATTTTATATGGCTTACCTTCTTTCTTATTTGATGAAACTGTTTTCAAACCAAAGTAGGCACCAGTCAAAGTCAGCAGCACGAAGGCCAAGGCAGAGAGAACTCCTGCTATGATCATTGAAACTGTGGCCGAATCTGGAGAAGCATAAAATAAACAAAATAAAAAAAGCACACAAAACTGTTTAGAATCATTGGTGTTTACCAAACTTCCATATCGTATGTACTGCCCTGAACAACGTATGCTCGTTAGGCTTCTCAGGACCATTAAACCAACTCTTTACCTTTTTTTTTTCTTTAACAATAAGTGAAATTTAGTTTATAGATTCATAATCATGATTTCAGAATTATTATTAATTTATATATATTTTTTATGAGAAAAATACTGTAACAAACTATAAATTATGATTCAAATCGTGGTACGAATACACTAATAAAATTGTTGATCATCGCTGTTGGTTTATTAATTAGTTAAAGATTGACATGTAAAGCTAAGTCGAGAATTAACATGTGAATCTATGATTTTGGTTAAAATAAAAGTCTTTTATAGGAAGTAAGATGTTTATCTGACAATTTCGTTTACAAAATTGGATTTCTTATTTGAATAGAACATAATAATGAACAATTTCTTTACTAGGAAGTAAGATGTTTATCTGAATACCATCTATTAATCAGGAAAAAAGCAACAAGTGGTAAACACGTCAACCCAATAGACAATTAGTTAAAACAATAATATGTAATGATAATAAATCATAAAATTTAATTTCTCAGTCCGAGACCCCGCAATGTTCAAGATCCAAAATTCAGTTTTTTGTTCTTGTTCTTTCTTCGTCCAATAAATTAAATGAAGATCAACCTAAAATAATAAAGAATTAAATTTTCCTCATGCTCTATTAAAATTGTGCATGTTCATTTTAAATTAAATTTACCCCGCCACCAACAACAAAAAAAAAAATCAAAATCTCAAATAAAAAAAGTAGCAAAGTACAACATTAACTGAAAATAAACTGAGAAAATAAAAAGAGACCCAATTAATTATATTAACTTTATTTTTCTTAATTTTTAATTTTCGCATTTAATTTATTAAACTTGCACATATTTTAAACATGTTGAGAATTAATTTTTTCTACATTGATATTTAATTGAAAATAAATTAGAGAGAGAGTATAAATTAAAATTCATTTGTCACCTAGTTCTTCCTCGTGCTTTGCACTAACTTGAAAGAACCTCTCCGTGGAGTACCTCAAATAACACCCGGCGAACATCGCCCTACCCTCCGCCGCCGGCGGACACTCTCCGATCCGATCTCCGGCAGCCCTGAGGCACCGCCGGCAGTCCTCCTTCTCAACAGTCTTCCAGCACTGCGCCATCGCGTACACGTCCGCGACCCCTCCCCTGTCCTCGCCGACGGCGAACCCGCCGTTTATCGCCGCCGTCTCCGCCAAAACCCCGACCACATCCTTCACTTTCTTCGCGAACTCCGACCGCAGGAACTCGTCGCCGGCGACGGCGCTGGGCGGCCCGCACTTGGATACGTCGCGGTCGTCGCCGGCGCCGTCGACGCCGACGGACTCGCCGTGGAAGCTGTAGTTGTCGTAGCGGAGGAAGCAGCCGTCGAGGAAGATCCGCGCCGAGACGGAGGGGAGGCATTTCGGGAGCATCGTCCGGGAGGCGGCGAAGCAGGCCGAGCAATCGGACGGCGAGAGATCGTCGTGGCACTGCGCGAAGGCGTAGATCTCCGGCGGCGGCGAGGTTACGTTTGCCTCTCCCCACTGGTTCCGGTTGATCTGGTCGGAGATCGCCTGCATTAGGGTTACGAAATTGGGGATGAAATTACTCGTCGGAGAATGCAGGGTCTTGTCGCAGACATGCGCCGCTTCGGAGATTCTCGGATCGGATTTCGCCGTAGAAAATAATAACAGCACGTGGAAAACGAGGGAAATCAGGATTGAAAATTCCATTTTTTAAATGTTCTAGCAAGTCTCAAAGAAAGAGAAAAATGGAAATCAGAGGAATTTTTTCATTTTTTCTGGTCAATTTGATTTTCATGGTGATAGTTTTTGGCTTTCGGTTAAAGATTTTTTTTTCTTTTTAATTATCGTGAAAGGGGAAGAGGAAATGGAAAATTGTTTGTTTGATATGACCTGGATTTTGTTTTTCTCTATGCTTTATTTAGGATTTGGACTATAATTGTGAGAATAAAAAAGAAGACGAGAATCTTGGTTCTTAAGTTGGTAAACACTTGAGTCGGAGATTGGTCTGACTTGTGAGTTGTCAGATGAAAGTTACAGCAGTTAACACAAACGTAAGTAAGCAGCTGACTAAAAACTAAAAAAAAAAAATTTAAATTTGATTTACAACTTTATTTAAGTTCATATTCTTTTATAAAATTTGAGTTTGAATACAAATTTAAGGTTAAACTCGAGTTCAAGAGATTATTTTTTTGCAACGATTGCAACGAAACTCAAAAAAATTTTGAACTTTAATTACAACTTTATTCAAGTTCATGTTTTTTTGTAAAATTTGAGTTTGAACTTGAGTTTGGAATTAAATTCGAATTCAATTTTCTCCTTCAACTCGAATTCATAAACTCAAACTCAAGTTAATAAACATTATTTTTCTATTCTTAGGATGTGTTCACTTCACCAATCAAAATTTTACAATTTGAGTTAAGTTATGGTTTAGAGTTAGAATCTATATTGGAATTGTAACTAGAATTGGAGTGAGTGTTTTAGGAGTCCATATGAGCTACATATTTGACCCACAATTCAAGTTGTGATGTGTTCATTTGACAGATTCATTATTCCAACTATCATCTCAATTCTCATCTATTTATATGATAAAATGAAAGAAAAAAATAACTTCCGTTATTCAAATTGAAGAACATTCCAAGTTTCTAATTTTTTTAAAATGTCATATTCATAGGTTAATACATGCAACTAATTAATGAATGAGGGAATTACCTGTCACAACCAAAAAAAAAATTGCGAAAATAGAAAAAAGATTGTGAAAATAAACATTGCCTCAAATGGCTCGATTTACACATTGAAAAACATGTCTAACTATGGATTGTTGTTTACTCGTTGGGTTTGCCACATGGACCTTGTCATTTCATCCCTTATGAGACTCATCTGTCTAGGATTCGCTGTGTTTCTTGGTCCTTCTCTTGCCCGATCTGGGTTGTGATTTTGATTTACATCTTCATCTGTGTTTTAAGGGTCAATTTCACTTACCGGAACCTCATCTTGAAAGTATTGGGTCATAAATCTATCATCCTGTTGATACATGCGTATGAAGTTATGTATGACCGCATAAGCAATAGGTATTTTCACATGTTTTCTCATTGAGTAGTTGTTAATTATCTTTAGAATGCGGAACCTTGCCTTCCACACCCCGAATGTGCGCTCAATACAATTCTGGAGCGATGAGTGCATGTAGTTGAACAACTCCCGCTCAATGCGAGGTCGTCCATGGCGTGCCCTATATTCTTACAAGTGGTATATACTACTATGATATGGTACTAGGAAACAACTTCTGTTTGCGTAACCCGAGTCTACTAAATAAAATTTGCCTACATAATCATCCAAAAAGACAATTAAATTCCTATTTGTACAAATGTAACAACCACAAACATATGATCTTTTAGCAATGCAGAAATGATGTTTACCTTCAAGAAGGATTAGAAATTTTTTCTATGGCCCATCAAGGGCGGATTCAACTACGTGGGCGTCATGTACAGAGCCCTCCCGCCCGACAAGTATGTATGTAAACTTTATGTCAAAAGAATACGCACCCAAAACATTTTGAGACATAAAGCCCTTCCTATTTCTCCATACCTTGGCATTCTCGAGCGGCAGAACACAAGGAACGTGTGTCCCATCGAGTGCATCAACACACTTCTGCGAAGTAAAATTAGATTACTACGACACATTAAACAAAGCTTTGTAAAATAACCTTAACATAATCAAGTAGCGATAAAGTGTCTAGACTTACATCAAACCATAGTTTGTACTTGCTCCCACTTACTTCAATGAATGGATCGATAGAGTTAAAGTCCGGGGGCGTAATGAAATCATGCCGTAGACGATATATGACATTCAGGACAATCATAAAATACTTTGAGATTGTGGCTCCCGAATGTTGCCATTGATGTTGTGTCTCCCTATTACTTTCGCTTTGACATACAATTATTAGGAATATAATCAATTGCTCATTAACGCTCATATTTCTAGTGCTCTTCAGTAAATTCTTGTGTTCGAGTAACCAACTCAACCTCTTAAAACAATCAGTTCTTATCCTTATCTTATTGTAGATCATGAGTTCGTGTCCATCTAGCAAATCACTAAGACGTTGATAACATGTATAATGGCTATTATTTCTTGGAGTTGGAAGTGGTATTTCCAAGTAATCGGTGCAACATAACAACACTGTGGTTGCACCAAGTGTGTAGTCATCTTCAGAGTTATAATCACCACCCATATCTGGGTTGTTTCCTGCATTTGATGGGCTGCCACTCCACATGCTCCTTGTAAGTGATATATGATCTACAATACCAATATGCAACAAATAATGTGACAACAATAATGTAACAATCTATCAAGTCTTAGACGGCAATACCTGTTTCATAGTGTGAAAATAAATGTCATTAACAACAAGATTCATGATACACGATAAATGGAAGGTGGATAAGGACTTCAATGTTTTCAATACGTATACAAGCCTTTGACTTTCTTTCAAATGTAAGAACAAGTTATGACAGTTTGGGCTCCAATTTAAGTACTCAGCAAAGATACAACCTATTCGTCGTCAAGTAGCATCTCACTTATGATTTCATGGCATTGGTCAAAGGTTGAAGTCGGCGTTGCACCAGGCTAAGTAGCACTAGGCTGAGTAGCACCAGAACTAGTGCCTCTGCTAGACTGGCGACTTTCAAGAGTGTTGGCTATACTTTTTAAAAGGGTTTTTGCTTCTGGATCCATCATTCTTACCCCACTTCTGCTTGGTCGCTTCGAAATTGGCTACGACGAAGAGGCAATGTTCAATGGGCATCCTGATGAGTTTAGCGCGCTGGACATTGTTCTAACAAAACCTTCCTCAGTCTCTAATGTTTGAGAGGTTCTGCCAACCATATTATCCTCCCCCACGTGCGGCTGGGAGGTGTCATTTTCCTCATCAGTATCCTCCATCCGTGATTCGAATGCACCACATGCACGCCTACTTGCAAAGGCCTCGTAATAGAGCTTGTAATTTTTTAGTGGGTCTTTCCGTGCACACTTTGCCCATTTGTACGACTGTTAACAAAGCAACTTGGAAGTGAGAAATAGCTACATACTTATATTAGGAAACCAGATATGCCGAAGTACATAAGAAAATTACTAACCTCGTAGAAGTCATTCCAATATTTCTCCGTACATGTTGGGCAATTTTTCACGGGATCCCATTCGAGACAGGTGTTCATGCGAAAGGCAAGCTCAGCATTGAATTTCTTTTTCAGTCTTTCCTTAGCCTCTTTCACTCAGCCTGGAAGAATAGGAGTGGAAAATAGAGGGAATAATTCACTGACCCATTGCTCCCAATTTGCTGCCTCTGGTTGGCTGCCGGTGTTGTTCTTATTGTAATCTGCACGGCGGATTAACAGCGCATGTTTTTGTTTCTCAGACCAATAGAAAGTCACGTCATCTTCATTCCTTCGCAACATCTAATACATAAAATTAAGACCACCGCCCACGACAAGAAAGAGACATATGCCACGACAAAGAAGAATGGATGATTAAAGCAAAACATGTCAACTCATTTGGCTAAAAAAATCGTATAAAAGCATCATCTCAGTTTCGGAGCACTACCCTTAGGCATGACAATTATGCTACCAGGCCTCATTCTAACAGGTAAGGGATCACAGTGCAGAACTCTTAATGCCCCATAAAAGGACACCGCATCATGGCTCAATCCATCATAACCCGCATAAATGAAGCAACAACTGATAAATGCCTAAATACCAAAAGGATAACATTACAATGAAATTGATATGCATAGAAAAAATGAATCATCATTGCCAATAATCCGGCCAAGATGAACAAGAACAACTGATCTTCTCATCCAAGTATTGGGTGTAGTATATTTATATAAAGGGGAGGCAAAAAGTGCATCAGAAACATGAAATGAGCATTTAAAATGAGAAGTAACTAAGATAAGCCTACAAGTATTGTACACTTACTTCCAAAACAAGTACAACAGAGCAAAGTAAGTATTGTACACTTACTTCTAATATATTAATATGCCTTTATTAATAGCAGTGCCCTAGTAATCTTATATACACTTTTGATGTCTGAGAGCGGTTCTGTAAATTCCACTAGAGATTTCATTTATTTATTATTTGTTGAATTTATGTTTTAGAGTCCAGACATGTGCAGAGGTTGTCGCCATCTTAATGTTTGTACCACCTATCACAAGGTAATTCTTTTTCTCCTAAGCTTGAAGGAATTTTCTGGTAGGCTGAATCAATAATTCTATCGGAAGCCCTTATAGAGTTTTGAGTATCATACTATCATTTTGTTAAAAAAGAAAAGAAGATTTTGATATGTATATTCTCTTTGGTGTCATGCTTAAATGCTGTAGGTACATGGTGTGACTGTTGAAAGCAGTGGATTGGGAGACTTATTTGATTCAAATACTCAGCACTTAACGAATGCTCATGGTGTGTAACTGTCATGCCCCCAAACCGGGGTTAGTGACGTGGAGGCTCGTTTAGAAACTTAAACCTGTTTGAGAGAGCGATTAGCAAATATTTTAATTTCTTCAAATTCAAAACATCCAGGTATTTTCAAACGAGCCCCTTTTTTCAGGAGAGATTCAATTTCGAGAAGGGTGGTGGAATTTCCAACCAAACCAGTTTAAAACCACGTCCCTGGTATCAAGTCAGGAATTCCCACAGGTGTTTAGCATACATGAATATAAACAAAAGTAAGTGTGACATCAACCACAGTCTAGTAATATTTAAGTTTACAATCCACAATC